AAAAAAAAAAAAAATTAATTTAGAACATCCAAAAACTATATAATATCATAATCAAATCAACACATTTTTGGACATAAACTAGTTATAGTATAACATTGAATATATAAGAATATACAAGCAAAAAAAAAATACAACATTCTACTTCTATTGTGTGTTCTTGCTTTGACGCCAGTGACAGCAGAGATTAATGCAAATTTTTCGTGTTTTTCTTCTCGTTTTTTAGCAGCCGTTAGTTATGGCCAACTACCCCGTTAGTCCGAACTTAATGATCGGGGATTATGTAACACCGGGGAACGCAGTGAACATTCCCACCTATCGACAGTAATTGTTATACTTCATTTTACAAAAAAAAAGCGTTGATAAGGCAGAGAAATTTGATGATAAAATACATACAGAGAGAAAGAGGCAAAATAACGAGTAAAGCGATGACAAAAGCAGTTGCTAACTAACGTAAATTTTGAAACCCATGCTCAATATTCATTTTAACAAAACAAAAAAATATATATATAACTGCAAGACAAAGATGATTCGCCACGTAAATGCAGTACTAAATAAACGGAAAGTAATAATGTACCTCTAATAAAGAGATCCGCCGGGGATGGGAATCCGCCGAAGTATCCTCGACTTAGTTTTAAGTAGCTAAAGAAATCATAAATCCAGCGGTGGCCTTCCGTGTCCACAATTGATTAAAAGTCTGCATCGGTTCGTTCATCGCTGATTAGTATTGTGATAGCTTATATATATTTTTCTATTACTGTTTTTATCTTCTTTTTTTTTATTTAATCTCTCCTCCGTTTGTTTGCTTCTTCGTTTTACATAATTTTATATCAATTTTCTCTGAATATTACTACTAATTATTTATTATAGACACGTTTCGACTTTCCGTTTTCCCATCCGGACTAATATTTATTTATTTATTATCTTTATTATTAATTTTCTTTCTATTTCGGAAAACAACTGTTGATTTTCGGCAGGGACATCTCAGTACTAATTTCTTTTTTTTTATAGTATTGTTTATTTGAATTTACCTGAGATTTTAGCAGTTTCATTTTTATATTATAAACGAACTTTTAGTAAAAATATATATATTTATAATTCTCTACATACACATATAAATATATATATTTAACATTCATAATGTGACATCACCGCTTTATATATATATACATAGTTCTACCAATAATGATCATAATTTTAATTTCTTTCTATATTAAGTGTATTTGTGTTTTCGGTCATTATTTGATCGTTTTTTGCTAAAATTGAGATACAAGACTATTTACATATATATTTACATACATGGATGAAATAAAAGTTAAATGGGTGTGTTCAGTATTATTTATACAAATCTTAGTATAGTCTTACTTTTATTTTTTTTCGCTGTTGTCTATTTATACTTATATACTCTTATTATTAATTAATTAATATTATAATCATTAGCTTGTAATGTCTTTTACAAATATTATTAGTATAAAAAGGTGCAGTTGAGCGTGTCTCCATCAAAAACAAAACAAAAGTATTTCCCAGATTGTCTTATAAATTTTAACAAACTTCTGCCACCTACAGATGTATAAAAGAAAACTGGACACACGCAGTTGCTAATCTATATACTATCATTTCTTTTAAATATAAGAGTTTATTTCAGCCAGTTGTATACGCCAAGTTGGTATATGGTTCGCGTTCCTCCTACAGTGACTTGCATATTATTTGATTTAATTACTATTTTTTTTAAAAACTATCCTTTTGATACCGTTTGAGAAGACTAAGCTGCGAGTTAGGCTCTATTTCGCAATGGAGACGCGGCGTCTATTTCGCTTATCGATTATATCTTTATATAATAGTGAGCTTTTAAGTGCCCGATTTTGTATTTACTTTAATAAACATGAAAGCGCAGAAATAAACCGTACGGTTAATGACCATATCAATGAATCAACGTGGAGCATGTTTCTTTCGGTTAGTAGTATAAACCCATCCGCGATGCTGCAATAAAAAAATACAATAAGCAGCGACTTAGAATCCCAGGGATTATTGCTTTTGAAATCATGTACCTAATATATTTAAATTTTAATCTCGTAGGATATTTTATGGTATAGAGGGGGATTTTATACTATCGTCGGAGCCCGACCACGAACTTGACAAGTTTCCCTACTTCTACCAGTGAGACAGACTTGCTCTGGATTATCGTATAGATTGTGTATTGTTCAAGTAATCACAATTTATTTTTTGTTTATTATTATTTTTTGTAAAATAAAAATTATATTTTTGTATGTACGTTATTAAATATAACAATAAATAATGTGCTTCCCATTTGATTATCTTCATTGTTGCCTTATGCTCCTACGCGTTCGAAAAGTAACGGTAAAACCCGTAAATTTGGAAAACATAATGAGAATTAATTTATAAGGCAGGAAATATTCTCTACGTGCTTATTTTTCTTAATATTTAAAAATCTTCAAATCATGTAATTATTCAGCATATGCAACCGAATATGCAGTATTGAAGATTCAATATATTTTATATCATCTTTAATTTTGCTATTTCGTTAGTAATAAGTCGTAGGATTAAGCAAATTCCTTTATTGTGATAATAATAGGATCTCTCGAAAAAGAAAATCAATACTTTAATCACCCTTTCAAATTAAAATCCTTCAACGATTAAACAGATGTCGTTGTAGTAATCTTTAATTTCGAAAATTATGCTTTTGGTATTATTTGTGAGTTTATTTATAAATTTTAAAATTAAATTCTTTATTTATATTAAGTTATTAAATTTAATGTTTGTCATAATCCTAATGGACGTAATTTATCAATAAAAAAAAATGTATTTGCTGTATATCTTTCATACTTATGCTAGTAGGTGATGCATGTCATCTTAATTCGTAATGTAAAGACGTTGCATGTTTACTTGAACTTTGCTTTGCTCTATATTACAGTTGGTCAAACGGTCGTTTCGCAAGGCGATTGATTTTTGTAGTCTGGTTTGTTTTTTAATTTAGAATTTCCCGTTTTTTGTAAATAACAGATTTTTTTAATTTTTTGTCATTCATGTAATAATTGACGAAATATTGGTTTTCATGCACATCTACTAATAATGTACATTTGAATGCTTTACAACTTGTTTTGAATGAAGGATTGTTTACTTATTTGTTCTTTATTTAGTAGCTGGTGCCCTACTATTTTTTGGTCTACAGACCGATATAACAATAGTGATAATTGATCAAACTGCATATTCATAATAAGTACAATTGTGAAAGCTTTGATTCTAAAACATAACTAAAATTATTTGTTATTAATAATTAGTGTTTAATTAGAAATAAATGAAATTTGGAGTGTTATTACAATTAATTATGAGTAGACAAAATAATTAAAATTTGTATTAGACTATTAATTTGTTGTTCAAGTTGTAGTGATTGGTAAACTATTAAATTTGTGTATTTAGATCTAGGTGGTCTACATTTGAAGACAACTTTCTTATGAGGGGTGAATCCCTTTTATGTATAGTCATCTAAAAATATGTAGAGTTTATTTGTATTTCTGATGTTTGTTATGATAAAAAGTATTGAAAACGAACATCCTTTGCGCGGTGATAAGGTGGGATGTTGATGAGGTGGCCTAGGTGTCGGGCGTCTGGGAAAAATCGCGTCCGCTCCGTTAGTCGTGTTTGAGACACCGTGGTGTGCGCGTCGTGCAGTTGCTTCGAACGTGGTTATGTTTGCACAGAACCACTAAATATCACACACAATTGATACACCGAGTCTAAACCCTTCAAACGAAGAGTTCCTCATATGTGGTGAACGCGATGCAGTGCTGATCCTAGTTCGAAGAGTGCACAGCCGTCCCTCCAAGGACCTAGGTGGTTCATCACCGAGGTCGAAGACTATGGCCAGCGGAGGAGCCCAGGAAACCTGCTCGAAATGAGAGACGTTAAAGAGCGCACACCAAACAATTTCTCCGTAAGCAGCACCAAGACCCCCAACTTCATGTTTTCCAAGCAATGTAAAGCATCCATGAGTACCTTTGCGAAGGTACGCGCGATATAAACTATCCAGAACGGCACCCTGGGGGCCCAGCTCGCGGGACCTTCTTGTGCCCGTCGAGGAGGGGATTTACCCTAGTTTCTAATCGAAATTCGCCAACCGTCCGGCAACGGCATGTGCAAAACCTCTCAGCTGCACACACGCTCCGTACGCTGGAGAAAAATTACATAATAGACCTCGATTCGCGTTGCGAAAAAGAAAAAAAAAACGAATAATAATAAAAGAAGAGAAAGAAAGACAAACAGAATCTTAATGAACGAGAGGTGTACCGAATGAGCGACTTGCAACCTGAATGTAAAAGGAATGTATAAATAAAAGGGCCCACGTTCGTTTTAATTACGCAACGTGTGACATATTTGGAGTTTTTATTGTACCATTGTGATCACTTACGGTACACCTAATAAAAAAGTACATAAAGATAGTTCAAATCAGTTTCCTAACAATGATATCATCCTGGACCTACGCGAGAGTAGTCCTCTTATCATTAACATCCTCGAGTGCTGGATGTACAAAACCCAAACAAATCCTCGATGGACTGTCATCCAGACAAATTGCGAATTAAGATCTGGAACTGCTCCTTTTTTCTTATTTCTTTCTTTCTCTGAATGGTTCGAATAATTTATTGGCTCTAATTAGAATACCAATTAATGTTATTGCAATGGCTGCCACACGCATCGGCTCCGCAGGAAGAAAGTCCTGCCACTCGCATGTATACACATCTTTCTTTTAATCGTCCGTCCGTTGAAAGGCCTGGTCTTCTGCACAATCGCACGTATCTCTCCGTTAAGTTTTTGTTTATTTAAACGGCACTAATGAATCTCTCTCTTTCCTTCACTTGTGGAGAGAAAATCATTACGAAACGCTGAAGGAAAGCGGCCAGATCCCTTCGTAATTGCGTAACTGCACATCGGTGTGCGAAGATATCGAAGGAAGGATTGTTTAAAGGTTGCTCCAATCTTAAGATGAAACAGCCACTTTCGGCGTGTTAACGTATATAACAGATGAAAGAAAGCCTTATCTCTGATGCCCCGATCTTGGCCGGAATAGAGAAGTTCGCTGAGCCAAAGTTCAGGAACGGTTAACCGAGGATTGCGTTTGTTGCTAAATCACGTGCGCTTTTAGGAACTAGTTGCAAAACTGTTGTCCAAACACCGAACTCATTTGTCTTCCAATCTGTTTACATAACTACTAGTTTATCAGTTTTCTCAAAAAGTTAAAGCTCAGACATTTATTTCAAATTCACAAATGTTTCTCTTACATTTGTTTTTAATATAATTATAAAATAAGAATAGTTGTTTAATGATCATTGTAATTGGCGGAGCTACAAACAGCACGAGGAACAAAGCAGTAGCTGTATCTAAGGCTACCATTCCATTGCACTCAAGTTATCTAAGCAATTGCGCAATTCAGTATGAATCTGATTGTTCCATCGCCGGAAGTCTTTCGGATTTGTTAATTAGCTCGAATTAACGTAACCAAGCTCCTTGTGTTCTTTTTTTTCTACTTTTTCTTCTGCATTAATTAATTAATGAAGTTTTGGAGTAGGCTAATTACCTGCTCGAGCGAAGTTTGCAAAATTGATTTATAAATAAATAAGTAATTGTTGTGCGTCAAACGCGAGACTGACATCTGCGATGAAAGAAAAGTAACTGTTTCTTATAAACATTTATTTAATAAATACTTGTAATTATTTTACTAGTTGTCTCCAAATACTGCGACCACTTCTCTCACCTAGTTAAAAACGTTTTATTTTTAGTCATCTCTCTTTAATTAAAACCTGCACTTCGAACGTCGTGTGCGTTTCACACACTCACACGTTGTTACTCTGCGAAATCGGTTTTTAAATGCCGGAAAAGGTTTGTACTTGTTTCAACTGTTTTCAATTAGACAAACCTCAAATTCTCAATTATTGTCATCATTTTCAGTTGATTAGTTTTTTTTTTATCAAAATTTAAAATAAAATTAATAGATATTATTAGATTCTAATATAAATCTGAATTGAATTCTCTTTTAATAAAAGCTAAAAGTTTTTAATAATTTGGGTCATTTTTTTGCAACGTAAATCTGTTACATTTGCATAATGATTTTGAAGATTTGTGTATTTTGGTTTCACTACGTTAATGACCTTAATTCGGAGCAATAGTATCTGCATTTGTTCTTAAGTGGACAAAGGCTATTATTTTGTTCTTTCAAAAACAAAACAACTTAAATTGTCATCTAATTTATTCTTTTCGTTCTAAAAATTAATTCGCTTTCTTAGTTTGGAACAAAATAGGAGCGAATTCCGAAATGTACTGTTACACATGTTTTGAGAATGAAAACGAAGAAAGTTGTTTTTCAAAATATCGACGAGGTGAAGGTCTTTCAGTCTAAAATGAATTAATCAGCTTAGATTTGTGTATTTATGCTTACGAACAAAACATAGCTATTGTCGTGTATGGTCTAGTCATATTTATTTTAGAGCAAGATATGCATTTTATGGTTCTCACTCAACGGATTTTTGTTGTTACAAAAAAAGGATAATAACTTCTTTTATGTCGCCGTCCTACACGTGTCTTCCCACCAACTAACTCCAAATATTTGGAGACAAAAACTTGTTTATTTAGCGAATCCTTGGGAAGAGCAGTTCGCATAAGCTTTTAAATGATTACCATTTTCATTTTATTCTTATTCTATCCTCGTCCATAAAATAACAAAAAGTGTTTATTATCATAGATTATTCACAAGTGTAAACTTTCTCAAGAATTTTGCTCTCTGGACATTGCTTACATTGTGACCGGGTGGTCCATTATCCTCTGGGAAAAATAACATAGAAAAGAGAAATTATTTACTATTATAGTTTTAAAATGTATACTTTTAATTGTCGTTGTATAATAATCTTAAACAAAACAAAAAAAATAATAATTTCTCTTCTTGGATTTTATTCAACTTTTTTTCATATTTAAATATGAATGAAGTGGAAGTAAGGGTGAATTTTGTTTCGAAGGGCTGAACATGTGGTATCAACATGACCTGGCACCACTAGGAAAGGGAAGAGATTCACATGAATTCCCTTTCCTCTGTCCTCGAAGCAAATCGCAAAATGTTAATACTTAGTAGTCAATTGTAGTTTTGGAAAGAATTTTAAAGTGTTTGTTATTCGAAACGCACCACTCGTCAATTTTGCAAGGTCTACTGAGATCCGAATAAGCCTGTGTCCAAATCGCTGCTTGGCGCAATTTTGTTTCGTTACGTAATTATTACATTACCACGGAAAACTAACTTATCTTATCGAATATAGTTACCGGCTATTTCTTAGCATATTACGAAATTTAACTATTTAAGTTTTTTTTCAGTAAAATTTTAATGCAAATTTTGTAATAATTGGAACATGCTGGTTTCAGAATGTCATGATTTGAAATACAATTCATATCGACACCTCAGTGGAACCTCGCTTAATCTCGTATAGTGAAACATATTCAAAATACACATAATATGATGTAGCAGGCAAGAAATCCGGGACTTCTCTTCTCATCGTCATTTTTCTTACAATTAATATTACTCGTTACCACTCCACTGTATATTATATTTCTTAGAAAAACTGTTCGCAAGTGATTTTGTATAGTTTCTAAATCACTGTTAAAACAAAACGCCCATGTGTTTGCCGATATGCTAATTTTCCGTTGCAAAATTGTTATATAAACAAACTGGTAAAGTCACGAAACTTTTACGATTCCTCCTCGTTCATCCTCCTCTCACGTTTTTTTCCTCTCCTGAAGCACAACTTGAGTGTATCTGCTTCTATTTTATTCTTAATTCCTTGCGCTTCTTTCGTTCTCCTTCTTGTGCACAAACGCTACGTCGCCTGACGTGAAATCAGGTTTAGAATTTCCATTAACCCACTGAATCTAAAATTATTCATAAACAGTTTTTAAGAGACCATCGGCACACTTCTCTCGCTCTTCAGCAAATAGAAAATGAGACGATGCCATCGATTCATCATTGAAATACAAACTATAAAGTAATGATTTGCTTTGTTTCCTGCTGTTGTGTGTGTTTTTTTTTTTAAATTCATTCTCTGTCGTGAAACGAGTTCGCGTTATTTCCTAGAGCAAAGTTCAAATGCGCTCTAGTCATTCGAAACCAAGGTACGTCGATTCCTTTGAAATTAAGTGTGATTAATTTTCGCGCGAACAAAGTTGAATCGAAATATTAAAATAATTTCAACACACGTGCACAAAATTGAATAATTGTCGGTACACAAAATACAATAATCATTTACAACAATTAAGTTATCTTATTTCTCACAAAAAGCTTTAAGCTTAAACTCGGTACAGTTACGTAAGAAGCACAAAATAATGGTTGCTTGTATACTATTAAGAATAACATTTGCAAGGCGAAGAAAAGTAAAAGCTTCTTCCGTCATTTGGAAATCCAAAGACGCCGTAAATATGATTAATTAAATGAGCCAATAAAAGACAGGACTTTGTGTGTAATATTCGTGAATTAAAATTTACTCGTGCGACAATTAAGTAGAACATACGAGTAAAAGTATTCATAAAAAGAAAAACAACGATGAAGTAGAAGTATTTCCGCTGAATGCTTTGTTAAAATCGGTCCGCGTTTAACCTAAGCGACAAAAGTCGCAATTAAATATTAATTATAGAACGTTGTGCATGTTTTTGTGTCTCTCTGTATTATTTTATTATTTTTTTTCATTCTCGTTCGCAATTAATCGAGCTTATTATGACGTTAGCATTCTTAAGTCTTAATTAAATAATTAAAGTGTGAGCCGCTAAAGATAATGAAGTGTGCGCCAAACTAATGAAATTACGTTTTAATCAAATGTTTGCTGCGCAAACTGTGTTTGCTATAGTCCTTGTAGTCACAGATTTGAAACACAATCAAGAAATGAATTAAAAAATAAAATATTTAAT